ATGACGTCGGCCTACCGCTTGTCAATTTCGCGGCGCTTCATTTTGCCAGCCGCCGTGAGTATCTCATTCTCAGGCGTCCACTCATCACCAACGACACGCACATGCCGCACACACTCAAATTTCTGCCGGTCTGCCTTTCGTGCCGTTGCCTGCATGGACTCCGTGGCCTTGCGCTGGAACGCCGGGTCACGCAAGATATCCGGATAGCTGCCCTCAATGCCGTGCTCCTTCGCAAACATCATAGCCTTTGTCTCATCTGTCAGCACCAGCGCGCAAATGTACGAACGGGCAGGATGGACAAGCACACACACACCATTAGGCATGCAGAGTGCGTTGTGTGCATACATGGACTCCAGTGCCTCCAATGCAATGTACTCTCCCAGCACATTCTTCGCCAATGCCTTCACACGGCCAATAATACGCAAGCGTCCATGTGTTGTGATGCTGCCAACATCACCCGTGTGAAACCAGCCATCCTCGTCAAGAGCCTCTCGCGTGAGTTTTTCCTGCATGTAGTAGCCCTTGAAGAGGAACGGGCCCCGCAGAAGAATCTCCCCCCTCGGCTCGGGGGTGTCCGTGTGCTTGTACTCATCCACGTCCAAAAGACACATCTCGCATATGCGCTCCTGTTGTCCTGCCACGACGGTTTCAATGTCGCCGCAGAGCTGTTTTGTCCCTACACAAACGGTCTCTGTGAGACCCCAACCCTGAACCATTAACCCAAAAACGACATTGAGAAAAGTTTGTGTGGGAGCACTAATGGGACCGCCAGCTGAAAGCATCGTGCGCATCTTCCCACCAAGCAGATAGCGAAAAGGCCCAAACACCACCTCGTTCCAGTAGGGCGTCTCCATTCCATCCTTCAGCGCCCGTAGACGACTCTGAAAGGCATGTTCAAATATTCGACGCTCCAGAGAACCGCGTGGCGCCAACCTTGCCTCCACCGTTTTCTTGATTGTATCAAAAATGCGTGGTACGCCGATGGTGAAGACAGGTTTGTACTCGAAGTAGTCGCCATGCGGACGGGTAAAGGTGTCGAGAAGAGTGCGAGGACTTCCAAAACCAACCAAAGATCCACGCGCCAAAAAGATATTGACAACGCCAAACTCAAATATGTGGGCAAGTGGAAGATACGCGCAGTATGCCTCCCCCACTTCAAACGGACCAATGAGATCATTCACTCGGTCGGCGCAGGCCAAAACCCCGGAGACAAGAGAACCATGTGTGTGCATCGCTCCTTTTGGATTTCCAGTGGTACCACTTGTGTACATGATGAAAGCCAGTTGATCATTGTCGGTCGTAATTCTCAGGGGTTCTTCCGAAATGCGGCCGTTATCGACGATGTGAAGCCAAGAGAAAATTCGGTGACTTCCTGCTTCGACATCGGGCGGTAGCTCCCCCAAGTATATAATAACAGCAGAAGGTATTAAATCCTCGCGCATCATCCTTAGCAGATTCCGCACCGACGCCGCGTTACACACAATCGCACTGCACTCCGTCTCCCTGAATGCATACGCCAACGCGGCCTCGCCCAATGTTGCATACACGGTGCAAGCCACCATGCTCTGTGACCAAATGCCGTAGATAGTCGCTAGCCACTCCCAACGTGTCTCTTCGTAAATGGCGACATTGGTGTTCGGCCGAATACCGAGCTCCGCGAGGCCACGCCCAAACGCCGTAATATATCCCCAAAGCGTGTCAAAATCAATGTAACGGGTTTCAGTCAGGTATGTGATGTCATATGCACGCTCCAGACCGTTTTGGTCCTTCAAGACCTCCTTTGAGACGCGCAGTACCGGACGGTACCCAAAGGCGTTGCGACTTCCACCTTCCTCACAGATTTTCTTAAACCTCTGAGGCATATTATCCCCATAGTACCACTCGTGGCAAAGCTTTGCGTGTTCCGCATCGTTTGTGCCAACACGGCGGTAAACAGCCGACATATTCTCTGTTTCCGTTCCTGGCAATGGCTCGTTTTGTGCCCCGTACTGCCATATCCATTGTATTTTATCGTGGGGAACCATGCGGCGACTGTTCTCTTGATCCATGAGGGAGAAAACGGAATTCTCCAAAAGGTTCGACGCCGTTACCGTGTTCATTTTTCCTGAACACCACAGACGGATATTATTTTTTTTTTTTCACTTCTTTTTGTTTTTGTTTTTGTTTTTCAAAAGGAAAAAACTATACTTCCCTTTATTCCTCTGGGGATATTTCCTTCGCTAGTGTCTTCTTGTTGTTGTTGTTTGGGGGCAGAAGATGGAAAAAAAAAGGCGACGGCACATAACATCAGCTGTGAGCATCCCTTCTCAATGCCTGTGGTGCAGCACAAAGAGAGAGAAGAAAAAAAAAAAAAAAAAAAAAAAGGGATATTTCTCGCAGTCTTTTTGTTTGTCTGTTTAATGTGCGGTCGCGGGAATTCCCCCTGTTTTTTTGTTTTTTTTTTTTGCCGTCATCGTCTTTTTTTTTTCCGTTTTTTCTCTTCCTTCTTTTATTTTCCATTCCTCTCGTGACGCCGCCAACTCCGTGGACATCCCCCTCCCCCTCTCTTCTTGCCCCTCTCCCTCCTCGCTGAGACGACAACAGGAAAACAAAACAAAAATAAAAACAAAAATAAAAATAAAAATAAAAATAAAAACAAAACACCAGTCGTACCGGAGAAAAAAAAGAAAAGGCACTTCTCCCAGGACTAGTCTGACAAGTCGTTTAACGTCGACGACTCCCACCAACACTAACACCACCAGTGAGAGTGAAGGAGAGGAAGAGGCGTTCACGCACAGACAAAAATAAAGACGGGTACGCGCCTGTACACAAAATTACACACACATCTCAAATATATAAGGCGTGCATGTCCACAAGTGCGTACCGTCCGTTACTTCGTTTCCACTACCAACGTGCGGGTATACACGTGTGCCCAAAGAAGGTGAAAAACACTGAAAGTTGCCAGTTCCTTCTCGCTTCTATAAAGAGGTTTTATTTATTGATTTTATTTGCTTGTATTTTTTCCCCCACTTTTGTGTGTGTGTGTGTTATTCTGCGGCACTGTGCCTCTTCCCCCTTCTGTTCC